CCCCCCCCCCCCGGGGGGGGGGGGGGTGCACTACGTCATCTTCCCTCTCAGCAGCTCACTTAAACACAGAACACGCATGGTAGTGGGAAACTCTCTTCCAGCCTCAATGAAAGGAAGCTGAGATACCAGCAGATCTTCACTGTTTAATATTTATGCAAAGAACAGCAATCCTGCAAATTCTATATTGTGCAAATATAGTTTACTGAATGCACACATGTAAATATGAAGATCTGATTTCCTTTTAGGAGTTACAACATGTAACTCCTCCAATAAAATCATGAAATAACAGGTTAATGGGGAAACAAAAGCCAAGCAAACCCAAAGATCTGAATGGAGAAGATTTACACCCTGGATTACAATCTGTTGCTCATCAGGCAGACCTAGGTAGGAGCAGGAGTTGGCCTACATGGCTCAGACTGCAGAAGTCATGGCCTTAGACTTAAAGCCGTTTAAAGTCATGGGTGTGATTTTCTGTTCCTTGTGATGTGACTAGGGTACTTTAGAAACTGCAACACTCTCAGTCTCTGTCAAACCCATAAAGTCATCATTCTAATAGAAAAAAACATCTGGAGAGTTTTGATGCAACTTCTACTGGGAACAAAATCATCAAAATCTGTGATACATTATAGGAGATGTAGACAAATTTAATTTTATATTCAATTAAATTGATACATACCATTATGCTCTTTACAAAACATTTCTCTCCCAAGTATACATAAAGTAGATAAAGGTTTAATTCTTTATTGTGACTTCTACTTTGGGAACTGCTGACTTAGAGTGTATCTTTACTGCACTTAAGAGGTAGGAGGCTTAAATTTAAACTAACTAGAGCGCGCCTGTCCACAGCAGACCCATTCCTCTTGTAATCCAATTAGCAGCACAATGTGACTGGATTAGTACAGTGATGGATTTAGACCGTGATCAACTGGTACAATGCAAGGCACTACATCCTCACTGCATTACTGCCTTGAGCGTCAGCACTTCAAGCTATCACTCACCCTACTTCCTTCCAACAGGTGGTCAGATCAATTACTGCTTTGTTGAAATGTATTGCCTGTTCTTTTCTTTATAAGCAGATATCAAGAGTGTCCAGATTTCAAAAAGTGTCATTGATTTATGCACTGCAGATATGGAGCTGGCTTGAATCGTGGTAGTTTTGTCTGTTGATGACCAAAGACCTTCCTCCATGAACACCTTTTCTCTTCTAACCTGCCTGCTAATTACAGTTGTTACTTTTTAAATCAAATGAAATGCAACTTGTACTGGCACTGGAATCTAAAACTATTTTACAATAATGTAGTTGCCATGATAACAACTCTGGAAAAAAACAATACTTAAGAAACTCCAGGAAGTTATCCCAGTTCCTTTGGAAGGAAGCTGAGATTTAGACAGAAGCAGACACACAGGTACTTGGGTACCACAGCAATGGCCACAACACAAAAAAATTGTTCAACCTCCAAAGAGACAGGGGCCAGATGTACATACTTCTGTAGAGAAGCATTACATTCCTGCCCTCTTCCCAAAAGAAATCCTACTAATCTTTTGCTGCACCTCCACCTTGCAGTTGGGACATCATAAATCAGGAGTTGGTAATGATCCCAACAGTGTCAAAATCCTGCTGGGCTTGCCAACTGCATTCTCTTCATCCTGAGAAGGGCATATCATATGACATGGCTCCTTTCCAGTCCATTTTTTTCTGTTCCCAGGGACTGCAGAGCCTGCACTGAGCAGGACCAGCCTTTGCAGTAGGGACTTTCCATCCCATTTTACTTGCTTCATTTGCCATCTCTCTACTTCAGTCCAGGGCCAATATACAGCAGTTACTTATAAGCTAGTTTGTTTTTTTTTAACCACAAGATTACAAACTTCTGCAGCATATGTATTTCAGTTAAACAACAACAGCTACAAACATACTGAGATGAGCAATTAAATAAATCACTTGAAAGAGATTGTAACAGTGATACACATTCTGCTGGGATCAAGTCCAAAAGTGACATTTTGAGCCATTCTCAGATCTTGTTCCTCTCAAAATCTTCATGAAAAATGCTAATAGAAGCGGATCTTTCATTTGCTCCCGATCATCAATTGTAGAAAGCTTTCTATCTCAGCACTTTCTAATTTAAAGCTGCTATAAAAAGATCATGCTTTGGAAGGCCCGCAAAGCTTACTTAATTAGAGTTATGGGGCTGCCGTATCAGTTACGGCACTTAGTAAGGCCCTTAAGAGTGGTGAGGCTTTGTACAGTTACACTGCAACCTGGGACATAGTCAAGACACTTTAAATTTCAAACTGAATACATGGAGCACCACACAACAGATATCAATGGCTTGTGAGAAATTAGTAAAAAAGGTCTAGTGTTTTTACCTTACATGATCCTTTTGTCTCAATGTGTCAGAAGTGGCACATTCTAATAACTCTTCCAGATACTCTCTCTATTCCACAGCCATTTTATTTTTGTGAGAGATGGTTAATTGACAGGTGATGAACAAGAATGGCTTATACCAAACAGGCTCACCCAGAGGAAAACCAATTTTAGCAGAAAGATACTGCCCACTGAAGTATCAACTGACATGGATTTTTAACTTGTACTAATTCTTTACACAAAAATGCTACTACCTGAACAGTGAAACAGCAGCTATTAAGACTCTGCAAAACTATGCAGGGCAGAAAACAAGGAAAAATCCATCCAGTTGAAATTGCCGGGAAAAGCTAGGCAGGTAGAATTTGGTTACACATACAAACTGGAATTTGGCAGGTACACAGGGATTACAGCTCCTGTGAACAATGCTGTGGAAATCTAAGGACCAAAAAAAGCAGTCAGGAGTTCTGTTTTATCACACTAATGACCAAGATGGAAGATTTTCACCTGTGGTGTTTGAGATGTTTTGGCTTAGAAACCAAACTCTGATCAGACTTGATACCAAGATCATATGCAGTCATGTCATCTAATGATGTGATCCCATCAGCAAATGGAACTAATGGGTGCCAGGGTAGGGAGGGGGTATTTTCATTAGAGCAGCTGCAGCGTCTTGTGTATTCAGTGTCCTGCATTTCGAAATGGTGGCAGAGGTGCTTTAACTAAAGTTTGTCGAGTCTGCTCTGTTGTGCTCTAATCAAAACACATCAGAGCACATGTAAAAGTGCTGTACGTTTCCCACCAGAATCCAAGAGGATGGGCATGCTGCCTGCATTAAAAGAGCGGAGACACACAAGACACTAGGTGAAGATACTAGGTACCAGACACTAGGTGACTGTCATGAAGAAGAGGTGCTGTCAACTAAAGAAGAAATCAAGAGGGACATTTGTTTCAGATAGTTTTAGTGCTTCCTGTTCTTCCAGACAAATTAAGCCACCATGCCTGTTATGTCTTAAAAACATTTTAGCTCACCTTTTTTAATCTGAAGGTCACCTGCTTGCTGCCTACTGTGGCGTCAGACACACGGAGGGTGCCAAGCTTCTCTTCAAGTTTCAAGCGATCTTCAAGAGTTTTTCTACAGAGAACAAGATGAAGTCAGTTTCTTTCCAACAGCAAACAGAGTAAATAAAACAGTAATGAATGGAAGAGACTAAAACAAAAGTGAAGAAAATCTCAAACTCTGAAAAGCCAATCCCATAACATGCAAAGAAGAGAGACTGTAATTGAGTTGTACTTCTGTCATTCTGATATCAAGCAACCTAGTCCATAAACACAAATGAACCAGGCTCAAATTATTCCCTCCAAGTATCGCTCATTCTGAAGCCCCCTTTCAGTGTGTGCTTTTCCTTTAAAGCCTAGGCCCACGTTAAGACAAAAATCAGACAAAATGACTCCATGCCATTCCTCAGAATCAACATCTGCTCTGGGAGCAGTTTTCTACGGGATGTTGAGGAAGACTCGGGAATAGTCATTTAGGCCAGGTAGGACATCACATGTTTACCAGTACAGATGATTGGACTACACCTGTAACAGAACAGAAGTTTGGCACAGGTAGACTGGCTAGTTTAAAAATGGCAGAACCTGATTTAAGGTTTGCTCCCCCACCCAGCAAAGGGCGAATGTGTGTTTTGTTCGCAACTGATCTAATCTACGCCACGACTTACAGGAAACTACATAACTTAGCTGGATTGCACCTCAGGCTTTTTGAATGTCTGTACTTAGCCTTAGAGAGGATGTATTGGTCAGAAAGGACATTTAAAACCAGTTATACCCATTTTGGTTGGCAGTTTTAAAGTTTCTAAAATGAAAAATTTTCCATCCTGAATAAACTTTAAAAGGGGGGGGGGGGTAATAATTCCCTCACAACTATCAGCATTTTTGATTCCCTTTTCCCTTGTTAGCAGCCGATATCTGGTCCGATTAGAAATAACAATTTTGACTCCAGCAATGTGCACGCTCTATATAAGTGGTTTTCAAGCAAAGCAGTTTATATCTGACTTTAACAGCAGGAAAAACTATTCAAAGCCTACTGTTAAACAAATACAACCAAGTATTACAACTGTATACTAATGAAAGAAAAACAAATGTTAATGACTATAAGACTGATTAGCAGGACCCTGATCTTGTAAGGCACTCCATGAGGGCAGACCCTTCTCTTTGTGGATCTAGTCTCTAGTCACAGCTCAGTTTCTCAGCTGTAAAATAAGGTGCTGCGTGGATAAAAGTTAAAGATACTGTACTGAGGAGATCATATAAGTGTCTACAGCCAGGTCAGCACCTACAGAGTTTTACTGGCACAACTATTTTGGCTCAGGGTTTAAGAATAAGTCTCACTGATGCTTAGATTGCAAGTTCTTTCTGGTGGTGACTGTCTCTTCTGCATGCAACTGCACAGTGACTAGCATGCTGACAACCTGATCTGCATTCTGTATTACAAGCAACCAGATAGGGTAGGAGAGAATCTAAATGACTACAAGAAAGATGGAAATATTTCATTTAGTGTGAAAAATATAGTTTTATTTTAATTAACAGTACTAATAAACACACTAATATAACTATTTGAGAGGCAAGGATTTCCTGGAACATCGTGGCTACAACATCACTCAAACGCTAAAATAACTAGTGATTTGAGACCCTGCTAGTAAAGTATCCTACTACTAGATCTTTGGAAAGAGGGAAAAGAGACCTTTTGTGCGTAAAAACTATAAAGCATACATACTAGCGAAGTACTGACACATATTTCAAAAATAGGTCAGCATAAAAATACAAGTGAACACTAGCCAAAGTTAATGGAGATTATGCGGATGATGTGGTTTATGGATTGCACCCCAAGTATGAAGCCACTGAAGTTTCCTGGGTCTTGGTTTAAATGTAATTTCTGTAAGAAAGGCACACTCATAAATTATTCAAAATAATTGCCAAGAATTGTTTCATTTCCCATGACTACGTACTTTGATTCTGGTTTTCCTCCAATATATTTTCAGTGAGCACTTGTAAAAACTTGCTCTATCTGTGCTGTTTGGGAAGACAAACTAAGCCTTAGAGCTAACCATGGCAGGAGATCAGTCACTGACAGTGTGGTGGGATTTCTGCATTCAACTGAAGCTCCACTTTTCTCCCCTGTGAAAGGAGCATGGAGAAATGTGGCTACTACCCAGCAATTCTTTAGCATGACTGCTCGGGTACTGCTTCTGTCCAAGGGAAATGAACACGGCGAGATATTAGCAATACACCATGGAGTCATATGTTTATTGTATAAACACATGGATATATGTATCCGTGATTATACACAACAAATATCCCTGTTGTGATCCACAGTAATTCTGTCCCCTATTAAAGGGTGTGGGGGGGAAAGCATTTTTCTTTTCCAATAAACACTGACCCAAATGGTACTTTAAAAATGCTGTTAAAGGACGTGGGTAGGATGCTCTTTGGCTTCTTATGACATATATATATAAAAAAAAAAGCCTATCAGGATTTCTCCCTGTTCTTTGATATAGGGCTAACAGGAATATTAACTCTATTTGCTGAACAATTTCTTGGCTTTTCCAGGGGAAGGGAACTATTTACTTTCATACCTTAACTGAAAGATGACAGGGACTCCATCTTACATTTGTAGAAAGCCAATGTTTAAAGGTTAGAGACTGAAGCTAAATGGGTGTCAGTGCAAAAAAGCACTTTATCTAGAACCCTTTCCCCTCTCAGGTGCTCAGCTCTTACTATGTTAACCTTGGCAGTGTTATCGTTTCAATCATTCTCCAGCTACCCTACATGAGACAAGCTGAACTTGATGTAAAGCCAAGGGGGAAGAGAACATTTTTCAGGCCCTTATATAACACAGCAGGGCACTCACTATATTTACAGGTAACTTTTCAATACTTCTGTCCTGAGGACTCTTAAGTTACTAAGAAATTTATAGCATACACCAGTGCTTTAAAGTTGGGCTTTGAACAATGCTGAGTCAGGAACATGTCAAAGAAACACCCAGTTTAATATAAACCGTAAATGTTTTCTCCAGGAACAACATTCTAGCAAAAAAAAAAAAATACCTAGCCATTAAGTGAGCAGTAGAGGCATTAAGGTACTTAATTATATTGGACACAGACCATCATTCTTTAAGCTTGGCTAAATCAAATTTAAGACAAGCATGTCAACCTCACCAAATCATATCTGCCAGTACAATCTTTCCAATTTTTAGTTCAAGCAGTCAGTATAAAATAATACATTTATTACTGTATAGGGCTAGTAAAAAAAAACTTGCCTAAAGTCCTCCCACCTTTACAAAACTTTTCCGAGTTCAAACACTTAAGAAAAATTAAGTTTGCTGACACAGCTGACTACACTTTTATAACCAGCTACAGGAGATTAAAAACAGAGGAGATGGTCACTAAAAATATTAGAATGGTTTGAAAAGTAGTCCACGAGTCTGAATCTTGCCTGACAGAGTGTACACAGCTTCATTTATCATAGATCTTGTAGATTAATAGGTAGAAAAACAATTTTGCCACGGTAGGACAATTCAACAACAGCAACTTGCTGGAAAAGGAAAAAGGCTGCGATTGTCTTCAGATAAATTTGTTTGTTTAGTCATTCTTCATTTCCTCTCCTATCATGTCAGCATGTCTTATTGCTTTGTTTTCCAAGTTGGCCTCAGCACCTCACATTGCATCTTGTAAGTTAACAAGACATGCATTTGGTAGCACTGTTTAGTAAAAAATAACCATTTTTATTAAATGAGACTGTTAAAAGTACACTTGTATTTTGCCATTACTAACACTCCTTTAAAATGCTGTAGAGAGCAAAAGTATTAATTTTCAATGTCCTCTCTTCTGCAGCAAGGCAACAGCCCTAGATTTCAGGAGGGCAGACTTCAATGAGCAAAGGGGAATAGTTCGGGAGGCACTGAGGTCCTGGACGGGAGGGGAGCCAGGTGTCCAAGAAGAGTGGCTGCTCCTTAAGGAGACGATCCCCCAAGCCCAAAGGGAGGTAATCCCAACACGGATCAAAGGGAGCAGGAGGACACAAAAGCCCCCATGGCTCACCAAAAGCATCTGGGAATGTCTCCTAGCTAAAAGGGAGGCGTACACCCAATGGAAGGGAGGGACCATCACCAGGGATGACTGTACTGCAGTTGCTCGGGGATGTAGAGGGGTAGTCAGGAAGGCCAAGGTGGAGATGGAGCTGGGACTAGTTTCCCGGATCATGGACAACAAGAAGTCCTTTTTTAATACATAGGGGGCAAAAAGAAGGTACCGGGTAATGTGGGGCCCCTGCAAGACCCACTAGGAAATTTGGGAGTCACATCAGATGACAAAGTTAACCTATTTAACGACTTCCTTGCCTCCATTTTCCTGAGCAGGGACCGGATCAGCCCCAACACTGGGACCCCCTCAGGCCCCAGGGGAAGCGCACCTAGGCCCAGGGTCAGTGAGGATCTAGTCAGAGAACTTCTGGAAGGACTGGATGTATTTAAATCAGCTGGTCCAGACGATCTTCACCTTAGAGCACTGAGTGAATTAGCTGAGGTCATTGCGGGACCCCTGGCACAGCTGTACAAGCACTCGTGGTGCTCTGGTGTGGTGCCAGAGGACTGGAAGAGCGCCAACATGGTTCCCATCTTCAAAAAAGGGAGGAAGGAGGACCCGG